TTACAAGTGGTTATTGGAAACATTCATGGCATCCATGAAAGATAAGAAGCCAATATCAATATTGACGGATGGCGATGAGGCGATGCGTAAAGCCATTGATGTGTTTCCCATGTCTAACCATCGGTTGTGCTCATGGCATGTGTCAAGGAATGCACAGAATAACTTGAAGGACGATGAATTGCTAAGAAATTTTCAGACATGTCTTTGGGAACCATTTGCGTTGATCGAGTTTGAGAAGAAATGGGAGGTTTTGAAGGAACGAGCGAGTACTCCAAAACAAAAAGAATGGTTAGAAATGATGTATGCAAAAAGAGACTCATGGGCTGAATCATGTCTTAGAGGAAAGTTTTTCGGTGATATGTGCACCACTCAACGCATGGAGTCCATGAACAAGTATGTCAAGGATTACTTGAGGAAAGGCGTGAAGTTGTTTGAATGTATTCCAGCAATTGATAGGGCTATGTTACGTCTTAGGAATACCACGACGAAGGATGGTTTCAACGCAAAGTACTCAACACCAGTCCTTAAAACCGCATTGACAAAACTAGAGCAACAAGCTTCTCTAATTTACACGCATAGGTTCTTTGTATTGGTACGTGAAGAGATCGAATCTTGTTCAGCACTCACTCATGATAAGGTGGTGTATAATTTTGGAGGTCGTGTATACGTATTGTCAAAATATGGTGAACCGCATAATAATTGGACTTGTGTTTACCACGGTGGGGAAAATATGCGGATAGAGTGTGGATGCCGGAAATATGAAAGTGAAGGGATCCCGTGTTGCCACCTGTTTTATGTAATGAAGTGCGAGCACCTTACGAAAATTCCTCCAACACTTATAATGAAGAGATGGACAAAGAGTGCCCAAAGCGATACATGCACAGAATGTTTCGACAAAGGCAAAGACACTACCAACGAAGGTGTAGAAATGGCGAGGTATGGAAGTTTAAGTGCTATGTCAAACAAAATATGTTTTTATGCATCGAAGAGTGCAGATGGTTATGCCATGTTGAGAAATGAGTTTAGTAGATGGGAGGGAATTTGTGAAGGCTTACGGGAAAAGGAAGAAGAGACAAGTCTGAAATTGGGTAGTTCTGGGCAATGTCCTCAAAATATTGTGAAAGATCCAAAGATCGTTAAGACAAAAGGCACTCAAGCAAGCCAGGGTGGAACGCGCAAGCATCAACAATGTCATTTGTGTCGCGGATATGGACATACAAAGCGTACTTGCTCTCAAAGAAACTTGCATCCAAGTAGAATTGTAGGTGTGAATATCCGTTCAGGTAGTGAAAGCTATCAGTATAGTACTGAGAAAGGGCCGTCCCTGGACATTAGCTACAGTTATGCTAGTGAAATGGGTTCTCAATGCAGAGGCAACTATGTGGTTGATTTGTCCGGTTCTGATAGTTTTTCTACTGCAGACGGAACGGGTTCTACCCCCAACACTGACGATGGTTTCTCATTCGACAATGGTGAACCTATTTCCCTATCTACTGGTTCTACCCAAAACAATTGTAGTTTTGGAACTTGGTTTACATGTAACAATTAACATTAAATGTAGATTTAGTGATGGACAAGATGCTTTCATATGATTGATATATTATTGTTTTATGTATGTATTGTTGAGAAACTGTGTTATGACTTGTATGGGGTGCTTGGATGGAAGTTTTATGTAGGCGGCGATGATCCGAAATACATAGCATCAGAAAGGGTAAGGGGCAATTATTTTTTCAATATTAGAATCGGTAAAGACCAATTATCTGAAAATACTTGGTATTAGAAAATTGTTGGGCCGAAAAGTGCGAATTACATTCCAAAATATACCCAATTTCGTAAACCATAATTGGTTATTCTTATTTTGAATCATATCCATAGGGTTATAATGAAATTGTTACTTGCTTTTGTTTGTGTTGGCTATATACCTTCATTAGCTTTGTGTTTACAGTGTTAAAGGTTTTGCACACAGAAGGGCCGAATTTGCATTGAAAATATGCAATTGCATGACAGTGACGCAATGCACGAGTGACTGTGCGCAAACGGAAATAAGAAATTTGTGTTGGCCTTGTGTTTACAGTCTTAAAGGTTTTGCACACAGCCGGTCCGAATTTGCATTGACAAAATGCAATTGCATGACAGTGACGCAATGCACGAGTGACTGTGCGCAAACGGAAATAAGAAATTTGTGTTGGCTTTGTGTTTACAGTCTTAAAGGTTTTGCACACAGCCGGTCCGAATTTGCATTGAAAACATGCAATTGCATGACAGTGACGCAATGCACGAGTGACTGTGCACAAACAGAAATAACAAATTTGTGTTGGCTTTGTGTTTACAGTCTTAAAGGTTTTGCACACAGCCGGTCCGAATTTGCATTGAAAACATGCAATTGCATGATAGTGCCGCAATGCACAAGTGACTGTGCGCAAACGGAAATAAGAAATTTGTGTTGGCTTTGTGTTTACAGTCTTAAAGGTTTTGCAGACAGCCGGTCCGAATTTGCATTGAAAACATGCAATTGCATGACAGTGACTGTACATGTGCGCAAACGGAAATAAGAAATATGGATCCGATTTTGTTGTACAGGCAACATTATACATCTTTTTTTGACTATAAATAAGGTAGGGCGAAATGAATGGAAATACAAAGCATGACAAACGGTTAGGGGCAATAATCCAAACATATTATATTGCAAAACGACCAATTATCGAAATTACCTAGTAATAGAAACTGTCATGTAGCGCGAATCAAATTCCAAAATATCCCGAATTTCGTAAACGAAAATGTGATTAACCCTAATATTTAATAATAGACATAGGGTCATAATAAAGTATTTACTTGCTTTTGTTTGTCTGTGCGCTATACATTAATTTGGTTTGCGTTTTTAAGCTATATTTAGTTTGCCCACAGCCGGTCTCCATTTGCATTGCAAACATGCAATTGCATGACAATGCTGCAATGCAAGAGTGACTGTGCGCAAACCTCTAATAATGAAAATTGGATAATATTTTATTGTACATGCATAATTAGACCTAATTTTTTTTACTATAAATCGAAGGCTGAAATGAACCGAAATACAGAGCATGAGAAACCGTAAGGGGCTATTTCCGAACATATTATATTACAAAACTAGCAAGTATCGAAATTACCTAGTAATAGCCATTGTCCCATAACTCAAGAGGCTCATATTACAAAAAAACCTGAATTTCGTTAACCAAATTGTGAATAACCCTAATATTTAATAATTGACATAGGGTCATAATAAAGTATTTACTTGCTTTTCTTTGTGTTTGCGCTATACATTATTTAGGTTTGCGTTTTTAAGCTATGTTTAGTTTGCCCACAGACGGTGTGCAGTTGCATTGCAAACATGCAATTGCATGACGGTCATACAATGCAATAATGACTATGCGCAAACCCCTAATAACAAAAATTGGATAATATGTTGTTGTACAGGCATAATTAGACCTATTTTTTAACTATAAATCGAAGGGCGAAAGGAACCGAAATACAGAGTATGAGAAACGGTAAGGGGCAATAAAGTGAACATATTATATTACAAAATGGACCAATGATCCCAAAAATTTAATCGTATCCATAATTTACATGGTTTTCTTTATCTTTCGGGTATGTGAATAAACATTTTTATCACCTTTGCGTTTTTGGATTGTGGGGTGTTGTTTTACCTAGCTGCGGCCCCGTCCTCATCCTCATCCTCATCCTCATTCTCATCTTCTTTCTCTTCGACCCAAGCTTCGTCTTCATTCTCCTCTTCATCTTCCTCTTCATCTCCATCTTCCTCTTCCTCTTCTTCTTCCTCTTCTTCTTCCTCTTCTTCCTGTGCTTCTTCATCTTCCTCTTCCTCTTCTTCTTCCGATTCTTCCTCTTCTTCTTCCTCTTCCTCTTCCTCATCTTCTTCATGCTCTTTTGGTACCACAATTTTGGTCTTTCCTTTTCTAACTATGTCATGTTTACATTTTCTGCGATACTCCTATATACAGCGAAACAACATTGACATATATAAATAATAAATTTTGTTCAATTTTGTTGTGCACACGAGTGATGATGGTTTGCATTGCAGAATGTAACATATGACTAAAGACTTAGTTTGCATAGGTTTCTTCATGCTGTTTCGTGGCCGGGAACCTCGATGACATGCTTCAACTGTGTCGGACTTGTTCTTGGTCCTCATTGTCGCTCGGGTCATTGTCCTTGAACCTATATATAGTAACAATATTAGAGATTTATAGTCCTAAAAGGGTTGTATGCTCCACATTCAGACTTTCTGAAGCTAATTACATTTGCAGGAACTATGGACAAGACATCACATCTCATTGACATATATAACACACAATGACAATCTAGTACAAATAAAATCGTTCTGTCGATTTTTCAATCATACGTATAATTCTCATCCTTGTATACAGTCGATGAGAACTGTGTGTAGTGTTTAAAGCATTCAAGGAAACAAAATATTCGGTACATCTTGTTTTATTGCAAAGAGACACACACACACACATATATAGAACCTTTCGTTTCAGTAAGTAACAATATCTACAGCTAATGATTCTTGCAGCTGTTGTAGCAAGCTCCAAAGTAGCTTTCCACTTGAGCCATACGTGTCACATAAAGAATAACAATGATTAAATTTGAATCAATTTTACGTCTAGCTTAGATCGTACACTTTTGATTATGGGTTCTTGCATCTTTCCGTATTGTAGATAATTAAGTTTATATCAATCCCATGATATACATTTTCATATTTGTGTAAGGAATCTCAGTGAGGTTCACATGTTTAAAGTCATTATTGTTATATGTTATTTCACACATGAATACAATCCTTATGTAACTTGCAAGGGTGGGTGCGGTGCGGTTTGGTTTCGTTTAGGACTCAAACCGTAAACTGAATAATTGTAACATAACGGTTTGGATTAGTTTGGAGCAGGGCTCAAAATAGTAGCATAACCAAACCAGTCCATTTAGTGACTAGTTGAGTCAGTCATTACCCTTGCAACTAAGCAAATATTCTATCTTCTTTTACTTATATCAAAGGGAACTCAATTGAACTAGAGTTGAGAAAACTTTTTATCATAGAAGACAGAGAAATTTTGAAAGATGTCTAGAGAAAGAGGCCTAGGGAAGTTTACCAGTTGCAAACTGGGTGCTCAAGGACTTTGTACAACCAAATGTACAACTGTAGACACCATCCACTAGAGTTCTAATGCAGGGCTCCATACATGTAGTTTATTTAATCATTTTGTAACAGATGATTAAAACAAAGGGATTTAGAGAAGTGGGGATTGCAGAGAAGGGGGGAAAATAAGATTAAAGAAAACCCAAGAACACAAACGCTCTAATCTCAACTCCCACACTGTTTTTTTGCTTTTTATTTTTGCTGTGAATATATCCAAACATATGCAGAAATCAAAACATAAATACCCAAACAGATGCAAAACCCTATAACAGAATCGAAGAGGAACTGAGAAAGAGAGAGAGAAACACAGTACCAGAGAGAGAGACCGAGAGAGGCTGAGAGAAGATCGGCGGTAGGAGGCGCGACGTGATGGCATTGCTCGAGATCGGCGGCAGAACGCTCGAGACAAAGAGACTGCAGGAGTTCGAATTGAAGATTTTGAAAAAAATGTCTCTTTCTGAACTGAACTGTTCGTGGCCTCTAAGGAGGAGTAATAGTATAGAGCCCACAGTACTGTGTTTGGTCTTGGGTGAAAAATCAATTGGGTTTGGGCTTGCGCGATAGAGTTACAAAATGAATTCGGATTAGGCTGTGGGGTACAATTCAATTGGGTTTGGGTTTTCAGTTTGAATTGGAATTGGGCTTTACGGTTAAAAATTAATTGGCTTTGGGTTTTAGGGTGAAACTTATTTTGGGTTGGGCTTTATGGTTAAACTTGAATTGGGTTGGGCTTTAGGGTTATATGAATTCGGTATGGGCTTTAGGGTTAAAATTCAAGAGTTTACGATTTATGGATTAGGGTTTACGGTTAAAATTTAATTGGGTTGGGGAACCCCTTACGTGTATGATGAGTCCATAGTGGTCATATAAGTTAGTATCTTACTGTATTTGTTGTTGGTTGCTGCGCAATTTCCTACACTTGTATTGTTATATGTTTTCACCTTATGTTCATACCTACGTTTGCCTTTATTCTAAATGCAAACAGTGTTTTTTGCATGCAAACACATACAATTGCATGTGAGACAGACAACCCACATATAATAATATGCAATTGCAGTAATCAGATGCAGTTCAGAGGTACCTGTGCGCAATTCCAAAATTTGTAAAACAGGTGGTTATAATTTGCACTTTCAACGTACAAAGTTCGGCCAACTTGTTAAGTTCTTCGTCAACTACTCTTCGAGCGGACTCAGTTACTTCCTTTAAATGCCTGTTTTTTTGGGTTCTTCACCAATGATAGTGCAACACGAACCCACTCACTTGCATGTTGAAACTGCAAATAAAAAACAACCCGTCACAGAAATAATTAACAAAAATATTTGACATAGAACACAAAACTATGAAACGATATATAGGCTGAC